CGAAAACGTCGCTCGAAAAATTCCCACCGGAGGATCTCCTCCGTAAGAGCTTCTGATTGAACACACACACGTAGTCTGGTGCAATTGGAATAACGAGAAAACGTGGAAAAATAGAAGGATCGGAGATAGAAGGGGGAGGAACATTGCCAACGGGGGAGAGTCCTGAAGGATGTAGTCGAGAGCGTCGGGGACGAATGACGAAATAAAAAGAGGATGGAGGCGAAAGAGGAGTCGTCCGAGTCCTGGAGGATCACCGAGGGCTGAGGAAGAGAGTGCTAGTGTGTGTGTGAAGGAGCGAGATAGAGATAGAGCGAGAAAGAAAGAGTTAGAGAGGATGCACAAGCATACCAGCCAACTACGTGGCCCCAGCGGCCCCGGAAGCGGACACCATGTTGCTAATAGAGGTCCTGTCAGAAGATGGAACAGCTTCCACGGTGGTGGAAGCGTCGGTGGAGGCGCGAGTAATTTCAACGACACCGTCGGAAATGGCAATCTGCCCTCTGGTATGATCACCAAGGCTTCCCAGGAGCCGTTCAGGGCTGTACCGAAGGCCGTCCAAGCCCTCAGGAGCGAGTCTGTCGATAGGAGCCATCGTGCACAGCCGCCACCGCCTCCGGCATTCCCACGAAGACGGTTCTCCGTGTGGTGAGTCTGGCTAATTTCAATCGATGGCGATGTTTCGTCCCATTTATCCATGTATTTTTCCTGTTTTTTTTTTTTGTGTTTTATTGCAGAGGTGATTGCGATTTGAGGTGTGTGCTTGACCCTTTCGTGAACAGTGAGACGCTTGAGTACACGAACGAATTGATCTCAGTTTGGTGTTTCATTGCAGACTCGATGATGTAGATAAATAAGAAATTTTTGGAAAAAGTGACTCTGTCATGAAAGGGTTAACGTGTCTCTTGATTGGATTTTATAGGAAATGCTGGAATATACTGAATTTAGTTTAGAGAAATATTTTAACGAAATATCAAAGTTTTGCAGCGATGACATAATAGCTCTACCAAAAAGGAAGAAGATGTGTGAATTCTTTTTTTTTTTTTTTTTATCAAATTTCATGGTATGTTTGAAATATTGATCTAAATTCCGGTGTAAAATTTGATATTTCATTTTTTGTTTACAATTTCTCATCGAAGAAGGCTGTTTCGAATTTTACGACCAAGTCAAAAAATGATCCTACTTCGAAACACACCAGATAGTAAACAAACCCCACAATTCTTCTTCCTGTCGATCTATACACTTGATCATTTCCAAATCATAGTCGAACGATTCTCTCCCACATTCAACGAACCGTAAAATTCACCTGTTCCACGTAACCTCTCCCCAAAGAAACCCAAGCAAATCGATATCCTCCGTTTACACAAATTAATCGCGTTTGGCGATCGATTTTCCAATCGAGTACTCGTAAATTAACGTCGAAGCAACATAAATCACTGTGCTCTATCCAAACGGTAAATCCAACCCCTGTGTACACCGTCCTCGTTCTAAAAACGTACAAAACCCACGAAACAACCTATTATCGCTAGATTTTCCAACGAACTTTCGAAACCGACGATATTTCACAAAAAAATAAAAAGCAAATCTTTTATTCATTCCTCGATACACACTCGAAACCCTATTCTCTCGCGATTCATAAACACAGCCAGTTACTGCGTTATTCTATTCGATCGCGGTTCGCTGTCCGATTTGTCAATCCGGCGTTAATGCAATTTCGATAGAACGAACCGGCGGCGAGGAACATCTGTACGGTAAATCGGGTGTTTCCTTCGCTACGCGAGCTCTGTGAAACATGTTCGAAATTGGCGCAGGCTGACGGGCGCATCTTTTATTGATGCAACATCGTAACGAAAATTTATCCCAAGTATAAATCAGCGTAACGCGTTCCCTTGGACGGACGTGCGTTACAATCTGAATATATTTCAATTAATCTCCATTAAAGCGCGACAGCCGGCTTGTATATCTTCTCTTCGATCTCTCTTTCTCTCTCTCTTTTTGTTCTCCTCTCTTTTCATACTCGTTCGTTGCTCGAACGTACGATACATAAAATTACACGGTGTTGCACGAGTCTGGCGGCAACGATACCTTGATTGAAATTTAACGATACATCTCTGCGTGGCGTTTCGACGATCGAAGTGAAGCGACAATTGCGGAGTTAAGGTTGATAGGCGGTGACAAATCAGAGGCGAATAACACCGGGAGGATAACTGTGCAACAAAGTTAGGCTTAGTATGTGCAAAGGAAGGAAAAAAAGGGGTTTGATGTATGTGTGCCAGGTGTATCGTTGGAGGAAGATGCGCTGATAGAGGGTTTGCGATGGCTTGGAGAGAATGGTGGCGGGAAAAGGAGGATTTTAAACGTGTTCGGGAGAATGCTTATGGAAGGTCATATGCAGCGATTTTAGCCGTTGGTTGAATAAAGCGACGATTGCTTCGTTCGTGTACAGTGTTTTTAATAATTGCAGAGAAAACGGTGGAAACTGGAGTTTGTGAGTTTGTTTCGTGCCATTATCCAAAAACAGAACTTTCGTTGAACGAAGAATCGTTTTTTTCTTTATAATTAAATTTTGTGTCTTCGTTTCGAAAATTTCTTTGGTGACGATAACTAAAATTCGTTTTGAAATTCAAGAATTCCATCTATATCGATTTTTTTCTATAACTAAATTCTGTATCTTCGTTTCGCCGTTAACTTCGCTTGAAAAATTTCTGCGGTGATAATTAATAAAATTCTTTTCTCTGCAATCAAGTTTCGCATCTTCTTTTCAACCTTAACTTCGTCTAAAAAATTTCTTAATAAAAAGAAATTCGAAGACCTTCCACGAAGGCACATTTTCTCACGACCTCCTGAGAAGATTGAACCACAGTCGACGCTTTCTTCTTTTTCGTTTGTTTCGTCAGCGGCTAGAAACAGTTAGAGCGGTCGTGTAAAAAGAGAATCACTAAAGGGAGGTAAATTAATAATAGAGGTAACGGCGCCAACAGAAATATTTCATTAGGTCGAGCAGGTTCGAGAGCAAGTTCCGGTTAAATGGAGTACATAATGTCACGAAGTGACCAAGTAAAGCTGTTCTGGCACGCGAGCGTCGCCTCTGAAACGGCTTAGCGGCGCGTTTCGCGAATGCGGAGACACTTTTCGAAGGGAGTTGCGGGCATTCTTCAGAAATATTCTGCGAAACGTGGACAAAACGGCGAGTAGGGGTAGCGTTGAAATGGAAACTTTGAGAAACTGTTAGAAACGGTAACGTCCATTGGCTTCCTAATGCCTCTTATTAAGTTACATCTCGAATGATTTTAACGTTGCAATCAGGGAACACGTTTTAACGACTGTCTCTCGGTTTTTCTTATACCGTTGGATACAGTCGGATCCCGCATTCTACCCACAGAAGTTTCAGTTAACAGATTCTACAGGATTTCATTTAACGATCGTAAAACATCGTTAAATCTAATTCCGCCGCAAGACCTCGCCGATGATGAAATCGCTCGTAAATTCTGTATGAAAGTGTGGTATCGCGCGACGTAGATTTTCATTCCGGTTATTAGACGCTGTGCACGAGTTCACGTGATAAGTCTTCATCTTATTAAAACGGATACGAAAAATCTCACGTGTGGATGTTGGGTTTGGATGATAAAGTTTGTTATTCGTTTTTAACGAGGTGTGCAGAGATTTTTATTTATGAAAGTCTGTTGCGATAAGGAAGAAAATGTGAAGAGTTAACCCTTTGTTTTATACCGTTGGATACAGTCGGATCCCACATTCTACCCACAGAAGTTTCAGTTAACAGATTCTACAGGATTTCATTTAAGCGATCGTAAAACATCGTTAAATCTAATTCCGCCGCAAGACCTCGCCGATGATGAAATCGCTCGTAAATTCTGTATGAAAGTGTGGTATCGCGCGACGTAGATTTTCATTCCGGTTATTAGACGCTGTGCACGAGTTCACGTGATAAGTCTTCATCTTATTAAAACGGATACGAAAAATCTCACGTGTGGATGTTGGGTTTGGATGATAAAGTTTGTTATTCGTTTTTAACGAGGTGTGCAGAGATTTTTATTTATGAAAGTCTGTTGCGATAAGGAAGAAAATGTGAAGAGTTAACCCTTCGACTTTGCGGGTGATAGGCTCGTATATTTGCCGGGCGAAAACAATTGATGGATAGCTATTTTAATTTTCTTTCTTATTACAGTATTTGTAAATTTTTTCATTTTCTAAATTATATATAAATTGCATCTTATTTTGGCCCGGAAAATATATGAGACTGTCGTTCGGAAAGGGTTAATTCTCTGTAACTCTCGCGTTTTGCACGCCATATACATATTGAGATATTAATTAATTGTGGAACAGATAACCGCATCACTGTTGTAACTTTCGTCCGCTAAATTATACATAAATTAATCGGTATCTCAGTACACAGCGTGCAACACGCGAGAAGAGTGACCTAACCATTTCAATGTCTAAGCTCCACAGAGCTCTCCACTTCAAATTTCTCCACCCTCAGAGGGTTAAAATAAAACTAACATCTGCTTATAGTGCACACCACCCATCAAAAACTCCATAAGAAAAACGCGTTCAATCTACTCAAAATTGATCCCAAAAAAGTGTAATCTTCACCCCGAGAATCCCAAGAAACCCAAAAGATAGGCGTAAAAATCTCCGACACCACGAGGGAAGCCTAACGATGATATACGTCACAGTAGCAGACGTTTCCCGTCTATAAACGAAACGACCATAATCACCTGGGATGCGTATCAGCCAGGGTGACGTTATAGGGTTAACTCACGGCGGGGTTGCGAGATGGAGAAGCCGGTCCGCGTGATCCGCGTCGAATTCAATTTTCCACGTTGCACGCACACGTGACTCTCCTATTACCTAACCGTGAGTGTGTACGAATGTGTGTGCGTTGATGTATGTACGCACAGTGCGTTGAAGGAAGACGGATGCATCGAAAACGGGGCGTAGAGGAGGTCAAGAACCTTAGGCAACCTTCGTTCAGCCGGGCAATTATCAGTGCCGGTCCTCGTTCAGCCACAATTTGATACACGGCTGTCGATACTCTCCTCTTCATTCGTATTACCGTTTGCGCCAGATTTATGCGCCGTACGGAGGAACGATGTACGCGCGTCGATGTCGATTTCTCCGACGGGTTTAACGTTGCACGTACCCGGGAACACATTGTCGATTGCGCTGAAAGAGAAGGATCCGTGTGTGTAAGCGTCCGTTGGCTTGTGTGTAACTGTTTGAAGGAACGAGAGCGGAGGAGGAGGATGCTGCGTTGCGTAAGCCAGGGAGGAGGATGACTGGAAAAGCGATTGTTAAATGGAGTGCAATGGATCGGCAACGACTGGATCTGCGTTTAGGAAGAGATGCTGGGTTCGTTCTGTTAGCTAGGAGAGTATTAGCCAGGTATTCTCACTTGAGCTTGCTTCTTGTTCTACTGGGTGACTGGGAGAAGTTCCTCTTTTAGGTGGTATTGGAGAAAAATGAATGGTCATGAGCAAAATTACATTTTCAGGATCAGATTTGTTTCGGAAGTGCAACGATGTATTTGTGTGTCTTATTGTTTTACGTTTTATGGAGTGATTCGTGCAAGTGGAACAAGTAGTACAGTAAATTCTCTACAAGAGTCAGTAAGTTTGGATTCTACAAGT